GGGGGGGGAATCTCTGAGGGAAAGCGGGACTTGCTCCATTCGAAGGTGGGAGGTCACCTTTATAATACATGACAAAACCGTCACTCCGCTGCCGTGCTCTCGGCCCGGAGTGCCCCTAAAGAAGAAGAGTGGGAAACGTCGTGAAAAGAGACCAAAGGAGGACGAAGAAGTGTTCTGTAGTGAGTAAAACAGTTAACGTCAGGCTTCGGGAAGGACTCGCCGTTCGCAGCGGGCAATGACTCGGCGCTCGCTCGCGCAGCGGGCCCCTATTTACTTGCGCGTTCCTGCCGTCCTCAGGTCGCGGGGTGCTTCGTTGTCGACGAGGTGCTGCCTATGTCCCGCCGTCCTGGTCGAGCCGCCATCCGCGTACATGAAGAATAAACCGTCCATCGAGGAAGAGGAAAGAACTATCTTAGAACCTGGAAAAAGGGAGGGCATGGAGATGAAGTGCTGGGGAGAGAGAGGGAAGACGAGGTGCGAAGTACAAGAAATGCCAGGCGCGGCGCAACCCGAGTACCATTTTATCCCGACGGTTGGACTTCGTGACGCCATACCAGCCATAACGTTGATTGCCGCTGCGGCGCTCAGTCGTAACGCGAGAACTGGTCTGTGGGGCTCAAAGATGAAAAGGCAAGCGTAGAGTAAGCGTATAAATGGAACAAAAAGGGCGTTCTGCGTGGCACTCTAAGTATCCCTTCTACACCGTCTCATAAACTCGAAGTGTAGATAGTGCAATTCAACACTTTTACCCACAGTTCACTGTCTGCGCTCTCAATGAGCAGCCGACTAGTGAGCAGGGAGAACTAAGAGTGACTGGCGCAACTCAGATTGCGCGTTCGCCCCAAAAACGTCGCACGCAACAGCACGCGACTACTACATGTTTGCCTGCTCACGCCATCGCCTGCAGCTGAGGGCTCTCTGACTACACACCTCCTGAATGGACGACGCTACAAAGACGTCCCATATAAGGTAACCCGAATCATCCAGAAAATGAAGGGAAATGCTGTCACGGCCATCAAATCGGTCGGGGATGCGTCTAGTCGAGCGCGATGCCGTCGAGATGCCGTTATTTACCAATGTTTAGTGCCAGTCGCCCGTGGGCGTACATGCGTCGAGCTGAAACTACATAATATTGCTGACTCATTTGGACAGAAACAGTAAATACGCGATAAGGCGATAAGAGTACGCCCACGGGCGGCGGTAAGGAGTCTGGGCTGTGATCTCCTTTTCGACAACTTGATTCTGAAATTTGATAGACCTGCCAAACAACCTGGTCAAGTCTCCGCTTCTGAGCGTCATGCAGGGGCTAGATCCACTCTGTGAAATTTTGCCTTTGCCAAACTTGAAGCTTGAGCTTGAAAGCCGCCCATTAGTAGAAGCAGCGGATCACGTGTATATTGAGGGCAGGCTAAGACGAGGTCCGACGCGTCCCGCTTCCTTGACACCTCGAATGACGCGTATTTGCATCTATCCCTCTCTGCAACAGAGACTCATCTTTGAGATTATGCGACTGCTAAGACCAACTTCAGCCTCAGACGAAGAACCTGAAGTGCAAGCTCAAGACGCGCAAAACAATGAAGATGCGGAGACGTGTCCACCTCACGACAGCAGGTGTCTAACCACATGACCCGTGCTTCAAAAAGCATGGGATGTGCAAGTTTCTACCTTTTAAATCATATTGATGGGTGGGGCGTCTTAAAACCGAACAAGTGCGAGACAGCGTGGCATACAGGCGAAACGGAGTGCCAAAGACCTTCCAGAAGACTGGGTCAAGAAGCAAGGTTCAAGAAACGGAGCAAGCGAGATGGTGTGCAGCAACGAGCGAGAGTTGTAAGCGCAGGACGAGAGAAATAATACCAACGAACGTGTCGGAAGATGAGGAGTGAAAGCGACGCAATATCGCGTGCCGGCTCAAGATGGGCCTAGCCAAGATGACCATGCAAAAACGCGTCGCAAGTCGCGGTAAAAGCCTCCAATCCGTCCAGTGACCCGGCGCGACTGCAGCACCTACCCATCAACGCGTACTCCCTTCAGCCCGCGAGCCATCCAAGACTCACCTCCAACGCCAAGCCAGCTGTGAAGACCCTGCTGTATCCCGCAGCTTTCATCTCGGTCTCCTGCTCACGCTGCGTGAAGATATGATTAGAAATGGAGTAAGCTGGCGACGGGGGCTGCGGCCTAGTCGTGAACACAGATTCTGCAGGAGCAATTCAGGGTGGCGTACCGGGATGACGGACGAGGGTTGGATGCCGTCGTGAGAGTCGACGGATGGGCGGTACACGGATGGATAAACAGACGCGCCGTCTTCGTCTTCGATGTCTTCAGATGAATGGTATAGGGTTGGAGAGGAGGTCTGGAGAGCCGGCTCCGACAGAGCTGACCAGCGTAAAAGCAAAGTCGACGCACCTCGGCGGGCTCGCCTTGCGCCAGACGCCCCGATAGCAGAACGCGCGACTCTGGTGACGACGGCCAGAAGAAATACACCTCGTGTTTTTCATCCTCTCTAGAACGCGATGGCAGCGCCAGCGCGTATTCTAAGACTGCGTCTTCGTAAAGCATCCCGCTCTCCATGTCCTGGCCGGATATTGCAAGGCGCAGAGAGACCGTCAGAAATTGTCTCAGGTGACGAGTCGAGTGCTGGAGATGAGCGTGCGGCGGAGGAACAGTCGCGGGTCAGAAATAGGAGCCATGGACGGGATTTTATACTGTGGCGTCGAAAGCCAGACGAGATTTTTACGTCGCAGGAACAAGCGGGGTTTGCTCGAGCTGACAGGAGCGATCAGCTGCGGGCGGGAGACACGGAGAAAGACGAATCAGAGGGCGCGGGGGATTTTCCTGGAGCCGTCGAGTGACAATCCCTGTTCGATGAGACAGTCATCTCAGTTCGACACGGTCTAGCAAGGAGAAGCAGAACGGCCTGTCGCGGGAGCTCTAATCATCGAGATATGCACCGTGGTGGAGGAAATCGATGTTCAAAATGTGCTATGCGATCAGCAAGGAGGCCAGAAGGGCAGAACACAAGATCCAACATGAAAGTAACCCCGCGGCAGATACCGAAGAGATTCGCAAGAAAATCGCGGTGAAAACGTTGTTCTTCTTGCCACAGACATACTCGGGTTGACGGTTGTCCGAGGCTCCCCAGGTGCAAAGCCGGATGCATACAGACGAGATACTTGTTCGTAAGTGTCCAATCAGTATGCATGTCGGCATAAACACTCGCATTAACACATGCCATACATACCTCACTCTGCAGGACCCGACTTTATCCTGAAACGCCTCCGTTCACGGCCACAGCGTCGACTTGCGTGACGTGACATGGTGACATCATGCATACGTGACGAACGTGACACGAAGGCGTGGGCAGGCTGAAGGTGGGCCGTGCTCAATGAGAGAGAGGGATATGATGAGAAACGTTGAACGCAGACGGTAGCTCTACCAAACTGCCGTGAAGCAACGCACACCAGCAGAAATTGGCAAAATGCAACGCACCTTTCCGCCACTAGGCCGTGCTGGTCTTCTTGTGGCGGACCAGGTTGTGCGGTTGGACAATATCACTATTTGCTCCATGGCACCTGGAGGGTGATAGCAAGATCGCCAAGTTTGTGTTCAAAACCCCCGCGACTTCTCCGGCCTCCTCAGCTGCCAAATCGCCCCGTCTAGCTAGCTGCAGCGCTACAGGGAGCAACATCACCTTTTTCCTCAACGGAGCACTGGGAGAAGAACTCATGGGCTCTAATGCAGTCAAGATATGAGATGGCTTACCTTGGAACCGCAGGCACCTGATTCTACCGCCCGTGTCTCCACCCGACGTTCACAGCAGCGCCCTTCGTCCACCATCTACATCCGCCACCCTCCGGTCAAATAAGGCTCTAGTGGAACTTTCGAGGATCCGGATTTGAGGTTAACCTGAGTTGATAAATGTCGCTGTATAACCGGCGATGTTTTAGCGGAGAGATGCAGCAAGTAGCGGTCTGCAAGAGTCGATTCCAAGAGCCCGCTTAAGCGCAAGAACAAGACTAGCCGGGCCAATACGCGGGCTGAGGATCTCTGAGTAGTTGCCAAACAGAACGTGGCAACTTGTGGCTATCAACCTGCATTCCTTGAGATCATGGTGGTCAAAGTGCAAGCTGGTGGAAGTCAAAGATTGCGGTATGGCCCAACCGATCATCTACCTCCCCGCGCCGGCACGATCGGATCGAGCGGTTCAACTCTTTCACATCCGTTCGGCCTTCTGGCTGTCCTGGAACTTATGCATCTTGCTCGAGCACTGTCGTTACCGACCATCCAGGCATACCTCCTCCTTCGCTCATACTACATCCCAGCGACAGACTGAAGAGCTGGCCGTCAATATCACCCTCAAACTGTCCAATCGCCATTACGGTTGTCTATGCTCCTTGGCATGTATAATTGCAGCTCTTTGTCAACAGTCGCTCCAGAGTTATCACGCATCAGGTATTATTTGCTCATGGTCGTCTCACGCCATGCATGAAGTCAGTCTAGGTGCGTCTATACGGTCAGATCTCTTATTCTATTCTGTCAAATTCCTCCGTCCTTGGGGCAAATGATCTCAGCAGCCCATATGCATGGAGTAGTACTTTCTTCAACGAAGAACAGCTCTTTCGCAGCAGGAATATATTCGTCTTCAGCGATATACTACATCCAACTTTATCTTTAGTGCGTTCGTCGCTCGACACGAGAGAATTGACCTTACTGTCGTCGAGTATGGTTCTCGTACGGTCAGAGCGTCAGAGAACGGTATAAAACACGCGGCGAAGCAATCTTAAGTACTGGAGTACTGGTCAGTCATATAGAAGCTTGCATTCTTAAGAAATAGCGCTGCTGACAATATCTGCAGCGTTGCTCTGTCTTTGTGCGATATTTGGCGGCTACACTACTGCTCGTTCAGATTCACAAAGCTCTACGCACATGCGTAGACTTTGCAGCCTCTAACTTACATCCACAACTCCAGTCTCCGAGTTTGATCCCGGTTTATGACGAGCTTATTCCTCGCCGATCAAAAGTTTCCCACTCAGGCGCCACAATCCCTCTGTCCCAGCTATGGGCTAATCGTGCTGTGTCAGCTCGGCCGAGAGCTATCAGTCTGCGCTACAGCTTGAGCTTAAAAGTCAGGTATGTGATGGGTCGTGCCAGGAAAATGTGGGATAGCTGAGATATATAACAACCAGGGTACCAACAAACACTTTCGCAGCTCTTTTTGAGCGTACATGTGTGGTGGTTAAGCATGATCACAAGGGATCGAATTAGAGCTGGTCAAGCACGGCCGCGACACATGGATATCAGTGCTTAGCACAGAATCAGCGACAGGGACGATTGATCGCACTCTGGCATGCTGCCGTGTCGCTCTCTATTCTAAAGGGCGCCCGAGAAGCCTCCAAGGAGTATAAGAACATGCCGGGGCCTCCAATGTGAAGAGCCCTCATCCTACTCATCTTCCTTCGATATGTCCTCTACAAGTACTTTCCGTGCGTCCATACGGTACAGCAAACGGCTTTTCACAGACAGCTGACGTTCGTTCATCACCAGCTTCTGCCGTTCCTTCACTTTCGCCGTCTGAGGTCTCACCATATGGCTACGTGCCGAACAAGGGCCTGTGTATCGCCTTCGTTGTTCTGTTCGGTCTGTCTACCCGTGAGTCGGCTGTCTAGGCTGTCGTCAGGTTGATCACGATGTACTTTGTCCAGTACTTCATTTTCTTGCTGCTTTCAAATTCCGCCTGTGGTGGCTGATCCCGACCGCTTGCCTCATGGGCACCGGCGAGGTGATTGGCTGGGTCGGACGTTTGTGGTCCAGCATGAACGTCGTCGCGCACACACCTTTCACAATGCAGTGAGTTCCCATTATAGGTCATATTTCCCGGCCGTTGCGAACTCATGATATGACAATAGAATTGTCTGCACTATCCTTGCACCTACACCGCTCTTGGCTGCGATATTTATCATCTTTACGCGTATGGCGGAGACGTTGGGTGTTCGTTATAGCAGGCTCACGCCAAAGTGGTGTGGGTGCACTTTTACAGAGACCAGCAGCTTTTACTAGTACAAACTGAAACATTTCACTCTAGACTCGGTTATATTCCTTACATGTGTACGCGGAGTTCCTCCCGAAAGCTTACGATGCCTAACGCAGCAACTACAGGATATCATAGCGCTGGTCATCCAAGGGCTAGGTGGAGGGATCGCCGCTGATGCCAAGACATTATCAGCTACCAATCTGGTAGGCCACTATCCTCATCGGCTATAGTAGTGCTAACAATATTGCCTAAGGGCGCGAACATCATGCTCGCGGGCATTGTCTTCCAGCTGGGCAAGCAATAAGGCGAACCTATAGTCTCGTTATGCTCATACAACTCTACAGTTGCAATGCTCGTCTTCAGTGTGTTGGCTGCAGGGTACTTTTACAGGTTTATCAAGGATCGCCCAGTTCGAGGAAAAGGCTTCGACCCCGGCTATCGCGATAGCATTGCGACCACAGTCAACGGCCCGCGCTCATGGGATAGACGTCTCAAGCTCATGACACTCGGGCTTTGCATTAGTACTCTATTCCTTATCATCCGGTAAGCCTCACGCTAGCATTGAAAGCTGTGGTTGTCCGACTAGCCACCATAGGGCCATTTACCGTACCATTGAACTTGGTGACGGGTGGAACGGGAAAGTTCTGCGTACTCAGGTCTACTTTAGTAAGTATCTCTTCGCTTCTCCTGCGTGGAATACTAACAAATGCGCCACAAGGCGTGTTTGATGCAGCGATGGTTGTTGTCGCGACGTATGCACTGAACATCTTCAATCCCGGTGTTCTCCTCTACAGCCAACCTCCGGATATGAGAGACTACCAGCTGGACAAGGTGCTGCACTAGTAACTCTGACATCTTATTCTTTTGTATGCACGATACGCGATTATGCATTTTCTGGTCTTCAAAGTTCTGTTTGTACTAGTGGACTTCTCGTCACATACATCGGGGCCCTTGGGCTCACGGTGGTGCGCGCTACTATAAGCGCACGTCGTGCACCTAAAGTTGTTCCCGACTCTCTTCAACAAGCAGCAGCCATGACCAGACTCTCACTTATCGTCGCTGCCACTGTCTCCAATGGTATCGGACAGAGTTCGCGACTGCCATGGAGGCTACCTCAGGAGATGACATATTTCGCCCGCATCACCTCGGGCGCGCCGGAGGGAACAAAGAATGCAGTGGTTATGGGCAGGAAAACATGGGAGAGCATCCCCGCAAAGTTCAGACCTCTTAGGGACCGCTTGAATGTGGTGATCAGTCGTAATCAAGATTACCAGCTGTGAGTTGAGCGAGAATATCAGGACTTTAACGTGCTCAAAGCGTGACCGTAGGCAGACGGCGAATACATCGTCCGTTCGCTTGAACGCAGACCTGCCGTCTGCTTTGACGGAGCTCAGCATGCAAGACTCTGGATCAGAAAAAACTGACGTCAACCGTGTCTTCATTATTGGTGGAGCAACGCTGTACAAGGAAACACTCGAGCTGCCACCCTCCTCCCCTACATTCGTGGATAGAGTCCTCTTGACACGGATTTTATCCCCTTCATTCGATGAATGCGATGTATTCCTGCCGGATTTCTTGAAGACGGAGGATGTAACCATAACGAGATGGTCGAGGTGCACCCACGAAGAGCTCCAGGATTGGGTTGGGTTCGAAGTACCACGGGAAATACAGGAAGAGAAAGGTGTGCAGTACGAATTCCAAATGTGGACACGGTAGAGCGGTGGTATAACGTGTAGCATGAGTTTGCTACAATGTCGTCTGCAAGCTGTGCAGGCTGTCTAATCAACCCTGACGCTGTTTTGGAGATGAGAGCACGCTTTTGAGGGACGGAAAACTGAGACGTGCCTGCTTGTGCTTGGGATTCCTCGAACAGATGATGTAGATACGACCTTTCCTCCTAACAACAGCGCATCCTCCGCACATAACCTTGACGGAGGATCGAACCTTCATGCCCCGAGCTAAAGCAGGCACCTGTACTTGCGGCGCATTCGGAGGGTGTGGGTGGAGATGGAAATGAGAATGTGGCAGCTGTGCAGCCCTGAAACGGGTCAGCAGAGGTCGTGTCGAAGCCAGCAGAGTGCGGAGCATGTCGAAGGAGCTTGTTGACTGTCGGTGAGCTGAGCCTGAGCGTCGTACGCGAGGGCAGTTTCAGCTACACGCGCCCACGTGGCTATCATCCGTTTCGGGGTGGGTCAGTAACCCCGTGGGCGCAAATATTAATGCGCGCCCAGCACCCACTCCCGCACACGACCTCTGCTTCCTGGATGAAGCTCAGCCATAACCCTCATATTCCTCTGGTAACTCTGCGAACATGCACACCGCCAGCTTCAATCCTGCCGCCGGGGGGAAATTGGCAGGAGTCCTGTTTGCCCTAATGCTTGTGACCTTCGTGGTCGAGAGTCAATTAACTCAGGTAAAGCAGGGCATTTTCATTTGGCAGCACATCCGAAGGCTTATGTCCCGCACAGTATGTCCAGACGGATCTCGGCTTCCGCCAACCGTACTTTGTATTGTAAGTCTTGAATGCGACGCCCTTTGCACACGAAACTGATCAGCAGGCGTGCAGCTATATCGTACACTCCGCCTTTGCGATAATGTGGCCGCTCCACTTTCTATTTCTCGTGATCAGCTCCAAGGACTCTCCTCGCGCAATCATCAGAGGACTGTACGTCTCTCTAGCCGAGCACATCGCTCCTACCGTCTTTGACAGTCCGGCGTCATTCCCCATCTGGGGGTCCCTTCGTCTGGTCGTCATATTATCTCTGTTTGTTTCCGTACCAGCCTTGCTTTGGTTTGTTGCTATCACACAAGCTCCGTAAGTTATTTTGTTCTCTTTCTCCTTGCAATCATTTGACGTCCGCTTCCCAGATTACCTGATGTCACCGCTTTATGGAACACCAATGCCTTCTTCGCGTACATATTAACGGTTAGGCTATTCGGACTGAGGTGGGAAGCGCGCCGTCTCTTGTCCGTGGTAATCGCCACTGCTGGCGCTGCGCTGGTGGTGTACGGCAGTAGCGGTGCACCTGCAAGCGCGGACGCAGGCGTTTCAGCGGCCGAGACGAGAATGGCTCTCATCGGAGACCTCCTTACTCTGATCGCTTCCGTCATATACGGCATTTATCAAGTGCTATACAAGATGTATGCCGCACCTCCGGACCATCTTGAGCCAATACCAGCCGACGCGGCCTACGAACCTATCGTCAGCGCTATGGACGACCCCGCAGAGACACCGATCTTTGACAAGCCAGAGATGGTATACCCCCCTCCGTTCGGTCTCTACGCGAACGCCCTCACCTCCGCCATCGGTGTCTGCACCTTCGTGCTTCTCTGGGTGCCAATTCCTATTCTGCACTATTACGGCCTAGAGACGTTCCACCTGCCTGCTGATATTAAGACGGTATCCGTCATCGCATGCATCGCTTTGAGCGGCGTCGCTTTCAACGCAACTCTTATGGTGCGCTTCCATATCTCTGTGCTTTCGAAGTCAATACTCAGCCTCGGCCCCTGAAATAGATTCTGTTGGGCCTATGGGGGCCTATTGTTACGTCCGTCGGAAACTTACTAACCATTGTTCTCGTTTTCATCTCGGACATTATCTTTGGGGGTTCTGTGCAGAGCGTTACGGGCTGGAGTCTGCTCGGTTCGGGAGCAATCATCGTTGCCTTCGGCGTCCTGGCATACGATATATTGCGGAAGCAATAGCTCTAGTCTCGCGACTCACAGCTACCTTTAATCCGTGTCGGGATACCAGACAGTAGAAGTATTTTCACTATCAATTTCACGCAGATAATGATCAATCCGTCCGCCATGGTGTATCGTATATTATGCCTATGTATATATTGGAATCTGCTCGATCCGAGAATGTGATGTGCGGTAAAGGAAGGGGAAGGACGTGCATGCGGAGAACCACATTGAAAATGAGTAATAGAACAGGTGAAGCTATAGCACAATGGCGAAGGAAACTGAAACGCGGCAATAAAAAACACAAGACAGATGCCCTTGACAGAATTGATGCAGATGGGACCGGCAGTAGCAGAAGGTTGAGAGAGAGGGGAAAGAGATGGTAACGAATGAATGCGCGGTAGGGTGTACGTTAGAGTTCGTTAGAAGACCGAGCGCAACATGAGAAAGAAACTGAAAGGTATCCTGGAACCGAGTGGCAAGGTTGCATCTCGTCTCCACAATTACAACTCGGTTGGTCCCCTCGTTCTCCTCAGCTGCGCCAGGACGGCAACCAACTCAAACGCACCAAACCAAGTTAGACTCCTCAAGACTATAATCGTATAAGCCGCACGCCGAGTGAATAAATTAGGATCAGGCCTAAGTGGTCGTCGCCATCATGCTGCGCGGGGTTCAGGGATCAGTACAGCGCTAACGCGGCAATGGGAACGCGTCATACCTCTTCCGCTTAGCCTTGGTCATCTCCTTCCGTAAAGCAGGTCCGTCCAAAGGTTTTAGCAGCTCGAATGCGCAAAGCAGCTCTTCCGATACACTGGGATGATAGAAAGTCAGCGGAGGCAACACAAATGGTAAGTAGAGCAAACCTCATGCACGCTCCATAATTGTCGAATTCTGAAGTAAATATGTGAGAAGATGGCAATTACTAAGTGATTGGTGTGACACACCTCCACAATAATTTGGTGCGCTGAAGACGGTCACCAACGTCCGATCGTTCCAAAACTCGTATCCGTCCTCCACAACCATGTGCGCTCGACATATCAAGTCCATATCGTATCGCACTAGGAAGTCATTGATGATCGCCTTCCCGAAGCAATAGCTGACGCCTCGTTCGTTGTCCTCCCAGTCTTGCGCGGTGTCTGACGGATCTGACCAAAGGAGATCATTGAGGAGACCGTAGTCTGGAACGTCCGTTGGTCGCTGTATCCGCTTAATGTCGTCCATATGATGAAGCGACGGGGATAGGCCGCCATGGACGCAAAATATTTTAGACGCGACGATAGCAGCGATTGGGAGACAGTTGAAGACATCAATGAACGTCTTCCAGGTTTTGATGTTACAGCGTCGCTTGCATTCATCATAGAAGCCGTACACTAGAAGACGGACGTCAGCGCAACGCAGGAACATAGATTCTGGCTAAGCGCTTACCTCTTGTTACGTTTGCACACTCGTGGTTTCCTCGCAGGAGGAAGAAATTCTCTGGATACTTGATTTTGTAGCACAGGAGGAGAAGAATAGTTTCGAGACTCTGCTTGCCCCGGTCGACGTAGTCCCCGAGGAAAAGATAATTGGCAGCTGGTGGAAATCCGCACATCTCGAACAGCCGGATGAGGTCCGAATACTGCCCGTGAACGTCGCCGACGATCTTCACAGGGGGCGAGAGCTCGATGAGAGTAGGCTGGTTCAAGAACACTTCGCGAGCTGCCTGGCATATAGCGACAATCTCGTTGTTCTTGAGGCAAAGCGACTTGCTAACCTTACCGGTGTAACCGACGTCGAGCAAACGCTGGATCATGTCGTCAATGTCGAGCTGCAAGGCGCGACTCTTGTCCTTCATCCCACCGCCCCCTCCATAGCTCGCATCACCGACCGAGAAGCTGTTGGTGGAACCCGGTGTCGGGAGCCCCGACGGGGCGAGCGAGTTGGAAAGGATGGTCTGCGTAACGGGTATATCGAGCGGAGCAGGCCTGTTGCCGTTGGCAGCGAGAGGAGATGTGGACGGCGAAGGCAAAGACGATGCGTCCGAGGACGGAGGGTTGGGGGACTTTGTCGTTGGTGAGCCATCGCTCCCGGGCGGTCTTGAACCGCTTCCGTTGGAAGTAACCGTGCCGCCATCGGGGTCCGTGACATTGACCCGTACGGGCGAACTGGTGTGTGCACCGTTCGAGAGGGGCCCCGCAGCAGAGAGCGGGGGAGCTGTCCCTCTGGAGACTGTGCTGGCTGGTGTGGAATCGTTGGTTTCGGTAGGCTCAGGAGGCGTATTCGACTCGGCATCCTTATCCTTGTCTTTGCCACTCTTCTTACTCCTTTTCGACTGTTGCTGGCCCATGGGAAGGGCCTGAGAGGATGAAGACGGAGAACCTGGCTGAGGAGACTGCGGTCGTGACCTCGAGAGCCTAGAGGCGAATACGGAGAGAAGTGTGGGCGCCAGCTTGGACTAGGTCTCGGCTTCGCTGGCGGGTGCGGCGGCGGAGCCACTCAGAGGAAAAAGGATAGAGATCGAGTTAACTAGTATTACTGTCAGTGGCGGAGCGTCGGTATCTGGTCGTCGTCGAGATCGTCGTCAACCACGGCGCAGGATGCCAAGAGAACTGAAGCACCACAGTTGCAAGGCGTTCCTTGTTGGCTGATGTTTACCCGGCCTTTGCCAGCTCGCTTCACTCCAGAATCTGATCACGCTAGCACTGAGTATTTGAAGCCGTCTGACCCTCAAATCCCAAAGCGAGGATACAGCTCGGACGTATCTACGCCGCCTGTCGCCGTTTCCCAAGCAGCCCGCGAACCTCTTTGAAGTCGTGAAATCTCTGTTGATCCACTGATTGATCGTGCACTCTCCTCTCATAGGCGTAATGGTCACTTTGTCGCATGCGCACAGAACACGGATAGGAAAGCAATAACAACACATAGCATCGATGCCTCAGCATCTACGCCCACTCAGACCCTGTCCAGGAAGAGTCCGCTCAGAACTTTCCAAAGGTCTTGGCCGCCGCCTTGTTCTTCGCTACTCGAATAACGTTGAAGCGTACGGTTTTCGACAGTGGCCGACACTGGCCTGCATAAAATCTGAGGAACAGGACCAATTGCGCATCATACGGAAGTCACGCACCGACAGTAACAATGTCGCCAATTTCAACACGGAAAGCGGGCGAGACGTGTGCCGCCAAGTTCTTGTGCCGCTTCTCGTAACGGTCTGCAATGAAGCATGAGACTCCACTTCCCTCTTCTTGTGCCCAGACGTGTACGTACTGTACTTGGGGATGTAGTGGAGGTAATCCCGACGAATGACTAGGGTGCGGGTCATCTTGGTGGAAACGACACGACCAGTTAGGATACGACCGCGGATGGAGACGTCACCGGTGAAGGGGCATTTCTTGTCTAAGCGCAATCACACTGTAATCAGCATTGAGGAGATGCATTCAAGATTAATGATACAGGCGTACCGATGTAAGTGCCGCTGATGGCCTCAGAAGGGGTCTTGAAGCCCAGACCGACATCCTTGTACCACCGCTTTTCCTTGGTCGAGACCTTCTTACCACCTGAGCCATATCATGCAACGTCGCTCTAATGAGTTTCACAGTATCCCCAAGTCTGTGACGGCCGTGTACGCACCGCGAGCCTTCGCGTTTTGGAAGAGATGCTGCTTCTGGTATGCCTTCTCAATCTATAAAGCGAGTCGAAGATCGTACCATCATAATTTTGCCCTAAGAACTTGGCCTTCGAGTACTCACCTGCTCGGCCATGTTGATTATGAGGACGGCGGGGGAGTTGCAGACGTTTGCCGGAGCCGCCTTACGCTACACTTGAATCTGGTACGTGACGGGCAGGAAAGCAAGCCACCGGAGCGAAAACTGTACAGCCCGGAATTCTCCGACCGGCAGACTCTCGGCACATATGCCACGTGCTATGGCACGCGTGACCGGGGATGCGTCACTGGCGTCAATCAAGCTTGTTGGATGACCGTCGCGACACGCGCTGCCGCGACTTGCTGGGTTCAACGCATCTTCTTTCACACCCTTTGTCCTCGGATGGGCAGGCAGACCACCTTAGGTCAGTATAAATGTTTACACCTCGATACGCTATCTGAAGCATCCTCAGAGAAATATATCGACGTATCAAAGGGAATGAAGCCAGCACCACCGCAACAGTCCACGCTCGGGGAGATGTGGGGTAAGAAGAAGAAACGCGAACCCGAGGTGAAAGTCGCGCAAGAGAACAACATGGATGTCGAAGATACTAGTGCGCGTTCACATTAAGCCAAATTAGCGTGTCTTACGCGTCTCAGGTGAAAGATCTAAGCGGAAACAGGCATCTTCTGCACAGTCGGGGGCCGCGCCAGAGCAGCCTCCGAAAGCAAAAAAACGCAGAATCATAGCCTCGGACGATGAAGATGACCTGCCTAGTAAGATATTTGTCCTTCCTAGTGAATCTCTATTTATCGGTACGCCTAGCCATTGCAAAGTCAGATGTGGCCATGTCGTCCGAGGCAGAGCTCGTGCCACCGTCCGACGAGGACGAGGATTCAGGACCCTCGAAACCAAAGCGCAAAGCAGCGAAGCCTTCGAAAGTGAAGAACGACAGGAAAGTCAAGTCGAAAGGCAAGGCTAAGGCCGCGGTGATAGCGGAAGAAGACAAGGAAGGGCAGGATGCCAAATCTTCTTCCGCGTCAAGCGGGGACGAGGCACCGGAACAAGATATCGATGAGGGGGAGGAAGAGACTGACGAGGAGGAGGCTACCCAAAAGTACGTTGTGCGCGTCGTACAGGAAGCCATGCATCTGATGTACACAGTATTGAGGCAGTGTTATCGAAGACGAAAGAAGTCGATATCGAAGGCGGATGGGAATTAGGACACCCGTACGCTCCCGACCCATGTTCACTTGCATTGACCTGACCATATTCTATCAGTATTCCGTACGCCGCTTTGGCGAAAGTCTTCGGGCTGATCGAGGGCACTACCAAACGACTAGAGAAGACTTCTCTGCTAACCTCATTTCTACTGCTTGTCATTCAACGGAGTGCTTCTGGTGACACTGATTCTTTACTTCAATCGGTATATCTCTGCATCAATCGAGTATGTATTCCGTGCAACACTTAAAGAGGTCATCTCATGAGATATCTCTTCTAGCTGTGCCCAGACTACGTGGGCATTGAACTCGGCATAGGCGAGAGTTTGCTGCTCAAGGCCATTGCTGAGTCGACGGGTAGAAGTATGACAGTCATCAAACAAGACTTGAAGAAAGAAGGTGACTTGGGTCTTGTCGCCAGAGTTAGTTCGTCGCTTTCTTGTCTAAACAGTCTCGCTCATCGCCAAGCGTGTCATAAGAACTCTAAGAACGCTCAGAAGACTCTGTTCAAGCCCAAACCGCTCACAGTACCCTTCATGTTCAAGAATCTTAAGGAAATTGCGTCCAGCACTGGTCACTCTGTGAGTAATCTTGTACCTCCTCTATTTGTCGCTCACTGACGGCACCGCAGTCTCAAAACAAGAAAGTCTCCATTATCACCAAGCTTTTGGCTGCTTGCCAAGGGGAGGAGGCGAAGTACATCATCCGTTCCTTGGAAGGCAAGCTGCGTATCGGTAATGCTGAGCGCACCGTGCTTGTCGCGTTGGCGCATGCAGCAATCTTGGCTGAGCAAGAAAAAGGTATACGCTGTGCTTTGCTGCCGAACTCGTCCCTGTTGACATGTCCTTCCACGTCAGCAACCAAGAGGCTGAACCAAGAAAAGCTTACTGGCCGCCTCGAGCATGCTGCGGAGGTGGTCAAGTCTGTGTACAGGTAAACATCCCGTACGGTGCAGTTTCCGCGCACTGACCCCGTGCCGCAGCGAACTGCCTTCGTACGACCTCGTGATTCCGGCACTCCTCGAGGTCGGCATAGATGGGCTCAAAGAGCGGTGCAAGCTCACGCCCGGCGTGCCGTTGAAACCTATGTTGGCGAAACCGACTAAAGCCATCGGCGAGGTGCTCGATAGGTTCGAGGGCAAGAAATTCACGTGCGAGTACAAGTACGATGGCGAGCGCGCGCAGGTACACAAACTCGATGACGGCACGGTTGCGGTGTTCAGCCGTAATTCGGAGGACATGAGCAAGAAGTATCCAGATTTGATGGATCAGCTTCCTCGGGTAAGTTGCATGCACGCATCCTCGTGGTGAGTGAATGCTAACTCCGGCGACAGTGCATGAAGAGTACTGCCAAGTCTTTCGTCTTGGATGCGGAGGCCGTCGCTGTTGACCGGAAGACTGGACAACTGAAACCATTCCAGGAATTGAGCAAACGAAAACGTAAGGACGTGAAGGTCGAGGACATTGAGATATGGGTATGCCTGTTTGGCTTTGACCTACTCTACCTGAATGGGGAGGTAAGGCTCTTCTATTTCTCTCCGCATAGTCGTCGCTAAATTTTGCTAGTCCCTGCTGCACCACCCTTTTGCAGAACGCCGCGAGCTGCTAGGGACACATTTCCAGGAGGTTGAAGGAGAGTTTACATTCGCTAAGTCCAAGGACTGTGAAACGACGGAAGAAATCCAGGCCTTCCTCGAAGAGAGTGTTAAGGATGGCTGTGAAGGACTTATGGTCAAGATGCTCGAGACGGAAGCTAGTCACTATGAGCCGAGCCGGCGCAGCGTGAATTGGCTCAAGGTTCGTCATTTCCCGATAGCGTTCCGTCCAAGGATGGCTCACGTGTATGGATGTGCACAGCTCAAGAAAGACTACCTGGCAGGGGTCGGTGACTCACTGGATCTGGTCGTCGTGGGGGGCTATTACGGGAAGGGTAAGCGTACGAACGTGTACGGTGCATTCCTCTTGGCCTGCTACGATGCGGACGGCGAGCAATACCAGACGATCTGCAAGATTGGTACTGGTTTTAGCGACGAGGCTCTGCAGCAGCACCATGAGCTTCTCAAGCCGCTGGAACTGACAAAACCAAGAGGAGACATCAAGGTCGGCGGTGCAAAGCCTGACGTGTGGTTTGAACCGAAGGTCGTCTGGGAGGTCCTGACAGCAGACCTGAGCTTGAGTCCTGTGTACACAGCTGCACAGGGATTGGTATGTGACTCTGGCACCTTCCAAGCACTATTACTGACTGCCTGTGGAACAGGCAGATGAAAGAGGTATTTCCCTCCGGTTCCCCCGTTTCATCCGGGTACGGGACGATAAGGGAGCAGATGACGCGACTGGACCAGAGCAGGTAAGCATCCAGAACTCCGCGAAAAGTTTCCATGCGGGCAGTGACATGAGCTTCTTCAGATCGCGGAGATGTACGAGCGGCAAGTGCTTGCTCAGAGCAAGGGCGGGAAAAAGAAAAAGGGCGGCGACGCCGACGACGAATTTTGGTAGTCTCGCTAGCACAACTATTTGTGATCTCGCATGTTGAATCTCTAGGAGATATATCCGTTGAGGTTGGCCCAGAGGGTACACGGAAGCGAGATTGGCTCTGGCACGAAACCTCTAAGCAAGCAGAACGCAGACCACTATGTGCAGCTTCATTGTGCAGCCTCGACCACCTTCTCGGGGACACTCTTTTTACTTTCTCTCGCCTCCTTGCCACCCATGTTCCAGTAGTTTATGAAGCGAGCCAATTGGACGGATTGTGCGGTCGCATTCGTCGCATGACACGCGAAGAGGAGATAGTTTCTGGGCTGGACGCGCCACGCTGTCATACTTCAGTTAGCAAGCGAGGACTCATGTGACAGAAGACTACCGCACCGAAGCGCATGAAGACCATTCTAGGGAGAGAAGCTGTCAGTGACGTTAAAACGCGCTCTTGCGAGCGTACTCACGAGTAACTGGCAAGGGCAGTCGTCATTGCGCCTGAGATGACCTCCTCATCCTTCTTCAAGTCAGCAAGGGCTGCCAAAGGCAGACCCCAGTTGGCGACCTGTTATGGGTATCGCTGTGGTCAGAAATCATCGAGCCTATGCGGGTCCGTTGAACGAACCGGCCCCCAAAAGTGTGTGCCTGGCGCAACTGCTCAGACCAAACGACCAAGGAGCTGGCGCGAGACACGTACTGAGGAAGTATTCCTTTGCAGCCGGCGAGCGCAGCCAGTGGATGAAGGTGGACGACATTCTGCAGTGGGAGATGAGACGGAAGAGAGGCTGCCCCAGGCAGTCTTGACTTGCACCCAGCTCGTGTAAGGCGCCTCACGTCAGCGGGTTTTACCGTCCCCGTATCGTCGTCCCTCGCGCTCAGACCACCGCCGGCGCCAGAGGCACGACGACTTGGATATACTCCCGCCTCCGCTGCTGTCTCGTCCTCCCTCTCGGGTTATATGCTCTCTCCAACCTCCAGGACTCGCGCTCATCCATGGTGTCACAGGCTTCCCGGTGATCTGCTTGCCCAATCTGATCGCCCACCTCACCACGTTGCAGCCAATTGCCTCCTAGACGCCTCGTAATGCCGCAACCAGAGTGGGGATGATCATTCCTCTTCCCTCTCTCCCTCGAGTCATCTCTGTTATCTTTGCCAGCGACCGTCATGCAGGCCACCTACTATCCCCCTCAAGCGTACTATCCTGTACAGCAGGTGCCGTCTCAAGCACAGTATCCACCTCCTCAGGTAGCAGGCTCTGTACCCTATGTCTCGCATTACGTCGGCGCAGCTCCTCCTCGGCAGGACCCCTATGCCTATTCTATGCGACACCGGTACGAAACCTATGTGCCTCCGCCGCCTGAGCCCGCGCCAAAATCCAAGCATCAGAGGAGTAACACTATCTCGACACCGAATCATAAAATTATGCCACTCAAATCCGCTATGAAGAAGCGAACGCACGAGCGGTCAGAGTCCATGGGCCAGCCCATATCGAGACAGTCCAGCAGGGCACCCTCGGAGCCACGCGAGCCTATCAGCCCCACCGGCAGGCCTCGTGCGAACTCTACCCAACAGTACTTGCCAGGTACGTGCGATAATCTACCGTACTGAATGTCCATCTTGATTTGTGGGAGCATAGGTCACCTGTTCGTGATGTTTCCCAGCTCGAACGAGATCCGGATGGAGAATATCGCCCTCCCCTCCACCGTCGACGAGATACGACAAAATCTTCTACCTATGTGGCCACATCGTGGCAGTAACGATGTACCTCGAGAAAGTACGTTTCGTGCCGTCTTTAACGGCACTCCGTGGGCCAGCTCCGGGACAGATTATATCATGTATGTACTGAGAGCACAGCAAACGATTAGTATACTTCACACTCATTCCTCTCTCAGAGCGCGTCGTATGATCCACACACTTTGGGGTGTCTTGGCCCATCAAGTGCGTATCGACGTCTGTGCAAATATTGTAGCGCCTCACATCGATCATATGGTTCCAGGGTTATATGTATCAGTCCACTACTCATACTGGCGAGCCGGTTCGTTGTTGTATCTCAAACCATTGTGCCCAGATGCGGTGCTCATCTCTTCCCCGTAGCCAACGAAGCTCATCTTTGCGCGGGCACAGCATGAGAAATTGCCGTACTTCTTCTCCATCTCCGTCTCTCAGTCTGGAAGCAAATATTCCTTCCTCGATGCCCCGCCACGCATTGCTGAGAGTTTAAGCGAGGCTATACGTGCCCTGTGGCCACACAAGGTTTCAGCGGACCGCCGCACGGAAGGCGGCGTGTTCATCTTTGAGGTTAAGAAAAACGCTGGGGGTCAGCCTGAACGTTCATGCAGCTTCGTACTTTGCACCGCTCATGTCCAAATTTTACAGGGGAAGTAGACAGAAGTCTGCTGGCCGCGTACGTCCTTGACTATTTCAACTCGATCGGCTTCAAGTTGGACGGGAGCATACCCATGGGGAAAGCGGGACCTCTGGGCTTCGGCTCTAAGAAGGAGCTCTGGATATTACGTTCTGCACAGCAGCGGGACAGTAGTGCAAGCGGGCAGAACAGTGTTCATGGGCACAATAGTGCACATGGTCATAGTGCACATGGTCATGGAGAGTATTGAGCCACTGTGTTCACTCACTGACTGGATGCTTGGTTTGTGGTTTGTATCTTCAATTTTCATCGCTTTGTACCTGCTCAAACTTTGGCAGTAGTTCAGAAATACCATGTAGTCTTGATGGCAACGATGTACGATATGCTCTTCATCGGTTGGCTTCAGTGCGTTGGATAGAAATGTACCGCAGTCAGGGGAACTGTTAAACATCTTATATCCGGATGTTATTGCCATATCATCGTGGCATTATGGCGAAGTGCGCAGCGGTACGCTTTGAGTTTGAATTAATTGCTTTGTGATATTTCGCTGATGGGTAGAACAGCCCAATACGAAAGATATGTTGGACTACTCTCAAGATGCTTCGCCACATAGTACTGCATAGCGTTATACAGCATATACAATGAGCCCTTCCAGATGTCGAGGATGTCTCGAAATCAAGTACTATCTCATAACTATAGGACCTATAGAAGGCATGCATGGTAGCGGGCGAAGTCAGCTGCTACTTCTGGGAGCTGGAGACGGGAGCTGAGCCGGTCGAGGGGGCTGATTTTTTATCGTTTCCCTCATCCTTCTTCTTGTCCTCCTTGTCCTTCTTCTTGTTCCCCTTGTCCTTCCTCTTGTCGCCATTTACTGGCACTGGTCCCGTTCGAGGTGGGTATTTTCCGGGCGGGCCAGCAGCGACTTTATCTTGCGGCCCTCGCTCTTCTAGCCCACTATCACGCTCATTAGTGAGTCTCATACGGCGTGGGGTGTCTGATTCGGGCTTACACGCTGCGCAACAGGTCGTCTATGTCAATGCCTTCTCCGTCTGATGTCTCGTCGGAGCTTGGGTCACTGCATGTCGCAGTCGTCTCGCTATCACTGAGCCAGTGTACGATCAGTAGAATCAAACATTGGCGGTGAAGTAGACGATAAAGTCGCTTACATCTCCTCTTCCAGTGCGGCATCCATGACTGTCCGGACATTCACCGCAGCAATCTGTGCCACAGTGACTGCGACCGGCTCCTTGTCAGGAGCTGTGTCGTCGTCGTTAGCCGATATCATAGTCCCGACAATGGAGGCCTCGGCTACGTTACTGCCCGACGCGCCCAGCGCTGGAGCCACAGCGCCAATCACAGGCTCCGACTTTGACGAATTGGCGGCTTGTACGGGAGCGGAGTTGGAGGAATCCATGACAATGTCGTGTGGTGACAATTGTTCTGGTGATGATAGGTCCGAGTCGAAGCGTTCCTTGAACGGCGGAATTCTGACCTGACCCACTCTCCATTGCAGCTTTATACAGCTGGGTGAGGAAACGCTCGCCTTTCTGAAAAGCTTCCCGAGCTACTCACCAATGCTCGTCCTCATAGCTCCTTGGCACGAGACTGACAGTTGCGATGATTGTAACCAGACGTCATTGCATCGCGACAGTCTGCTTACTGGCAGATCCTGTGCACATATCACGACATCACGTCCGATACCCACCACGCGCCGGAAAACACTACGGGAATACGTTGTAATTACCCACGAACAAGGCATAAGACGCGATCTAACAACGTAAGCTAGTAGGATAGGGTCAATGGCGCTCAGTGGTACATTGCTGGTGGCACAGGAGACTTGGGTTACAGCGTGGTTACACACAGGTTAATGTGTCAGCAGCTCAACTACCATCTCCTGCGTCATGAGCAGGCGATGAGGTTTCCACGGTGCTACCCCTGGCCAATTAGGTGAGTCCCTTCCGGAGGACCGCTCTGCATAGGTAGGAAGTCCAACTAAACTGAGATGATCTATGCGTAAGCCGAGCGTTCTCCGTTTTCCGCACTTCACGGAATGCTTACCAGATGGAACTGCAGCTAGACGCTGTCTACTATGACTGAGGCTATGGAGAGCAGGACAAGTCTGTCGTCCCGGCTGCTGTGTCCGTGTCTAATAGGACAGCCAAATTCCTGCTCATTTGGACCTGGCGCCACCCCTCGAGCGCAACAGCGCCGACAGCAGAATCCCTGCCGAAGAAGGTCTTTCTGACTTGATTTGCCGTGTGAACTCAGCTGGAGGAGCTGCCAGAAGATTTTGGACTTAGCACCAGCAGCAACCAATGTGCAGGGCGCCCTTTATGACCATTTGTGGATTTTACCTGCCATGCTTGTGTACACTTGTCAACCCATCCAGATGTGCCAGTCGCTTGAGATCATGGATGTGACAAAAAGTAATTACTTACTTCAATAATTGACCTCAATGCTCGCTGGTTTCGCTCCGGTTAGTGTTAGGCGGCACCTACAACAAGAATAGGGAGCTGCACTTTTACTCAATATCTTGCTGTGCAAAATTTGCCATGTGCATCTTGACATGTGTTAGTATCAGCTATGACCAAAGTAAGCCTTGACTTAGGCTCGACGATCATGTGACATTTATAGGCTGAGTAGCTTACTGTAGGTCACGCTTTGTCAGAAGACATACTCTTGGAATCGAGAGAGATACATAATGCCCCTCAAGTACATCTCCATCCAAATCTACGCACAGAAATTTCCAGGTTATCCTAGGCTAATCCTATCCGCCAAGGACCGTCAATTCCATTTCTCCGGGTTAACGAAGGCCCTTACTAGGTGCGCATGTACCGGGTGATAGGAACAATCATGTCAATTTACTGTCAACGCACGGTAAGTCGCACTGAGAGCTCTTCCATAAACCTCCGATATGAATGGAGACTCGAGTTCATCAAGATCGGGGCTCTAGAAACCAATGTTTGACCATTATCCGCATATACACCGAGAGAAAATGGACGGATTCAATCCTAGGATCGATCCCAGTCATCAAAGGCATACATTACCAAAGGGACAAATTGCCAGTCTGCGTTTATCCAATAGATCGTATAGCATAGTCCATAAATGTCCGATGTCAAGAGCAAATAATGTTCACTTTGTAGAATGTGAACGGTCAAGCTGCGTCTGTCTTCCTAGGCCTCGCGGGACGCGTCCCTGATTTTTTGAGGACAATCAGTCAAGAGCATTGCAATTGTATATGCCGTCGACTTCACCATTCTGGCTCCCGCTCCCGCCGGCGGTAGCAGTTGGCTTATTACTGCGACCGCGAGGCTCCAACCCCCTGAACGAGACATGATCAGCGTGTTCCGCGATACTTATTGGGAGGCAGCTTACGCATCTATCAAGAGACTTTCGGTATCTTCGTCTCGGGTGACAATGTAGATGGATCTAGCATTTTCTATGTTTGGCCTGTGAACCAGTGTTATTACTGAACCAGTCACCATGCCATAAATAATGAAATACTCCGCGCACTGAAGGGTATTCGGTCCAACAGCGGTCAGGGAGACGACATGTGACATCGACCTTTCTCCGGCCAATACTTTTCCTCAAACAGCTGTCTGGCAGTAAACAACTGAATGTGGTTTCCGAAGGTTCCGAACACGTAAGAGAAGAGAAGGACCGCGACCAGAAAGCCTATGAGAATCATCGCTCTCTTATACCCAGAAATCTTGGCTCCTGAGTTTGTCAAGACCAGTCGCAGTGGCAATGCATACCTAGAATATCCCTGGCGATATAGCGATACGTAATCAACATACGCTCCCAGTCATCGCCCTGTTTCCCCGCCACCGAAAACTGACGTTTGTAGGATTTCTGGATACCAGGGTGCCCACTCGGCTTGGTGCTCGGTACTGAGTGTGTGTACCACACCGCATCTAGATAACGGGGCTTAGGTATGCCAAATTCGTGCTCCGAATCAATCCATACGTCCGCGGATGCTCCCGCCACATCTCGGCGCGGTAAACGCCCTTTGCATGGGCCCGCAGAACGTGAACAGGTGTCACTTTTAATGTCAGGAGAAGTGCAAACCCCGGTTTTACTCGCTGAGAACGCACCGGAGAGCACACGGGGAACACACTCCCCGACCACGGCTATTTGGCTGGCTCCGATAAGATCTGACAGAAACAATATTTGTGCTGCCGCGCCTCATTCACAGGGTGGTAAGCGCAGTTTTTTTCTTGAGAAAACTCAAGGAAAAGCAGCTAAACAAGGCCCCGTTATTCCTCGATTCTACGCCGATGCAAACTGAGGAGAAACTGGTGCAAAACCAGCCAAAATGGTCTAAAACACAGTAAAACTGGCGGAAAACTGAGTTTTGCCTTCGGTTTTTTTCAAGTGAAAACCGGAGAAAGTTGGGGCCTTGTTCAATCAGTTTTTGGCCAATTTTACGCCGGAAAAAAGCGCGCTTACCACCCAGTGATCAGGTTGCTGCCGCAGGGCGTCTATTGCCTTCACAGAACACTCATATGGAAAAGAATGCCTGAAAGCTCTGCCTGAGAGCGCCAAGGCTGTGTGTGCACTGTGCAGCGCCTCCGGGAAGCCTGCTGTTGAACTTGCGTGCAAGTCGCCGTGTACAGCTAACTACATGGACAGCTTCGCCCGACACGTATATGTATAACTATGGCCGTGGGTGCTTCCTTGCACCCCGCCGCCGGAATCGCTCCTCTTACCATCCCACTCACCATGGCATCGCACAATTCCATCGAGTCGGAGCAGCAGGAGTGCGAACCGCCTGCTTATTCTGAGGGCATTTTACTGCACCCCACCACCGCAGATGCTAGCACCAGATACTCACGCAAGTTTCCGCTGTATGCTTTTGCAGCTCTACTCACTGTTCACGCCACTGATCCCCACACCTTAGTGTCCAGTCCGTGGAACTGACCATCCCCGTCGGGCTCTACGCCGAACTCTCGTCCCCCCTCGAGCCTGATAATGACACTGATGAGAAAAATGCTTCTATGGCATGCACTCTTCGTGCTCCTCCGAGTCCCTGGGTGCAGCATCTCCATCCCGAAGGTGCCACATATTTCGTCAATAGCTTGATCAGCGTAGTCACCGACAGCAACATCCTAAAGGCTGATATCTATAGCGCCGTCATGGAAGGTGTCGGCCTCGTTCAAAACATGGCCACGAACCTCCAGACAAAGATAACAGCTGACACCGAGCTCTACATTCGCGCTGATGAGCCTGATAGTTGCCACTACTATCTCGTGAACCACGACACACAGGTCGAGTTCTGGCTCAATGCCAACGAACTCTCCGATCTGGGGTTCTCCAGAGTGGTCTCGATGGCGCATCTCAGTGAGCATTTCTACGTAAATTCGTGTAAAGTTCAGATTTGACATTTTCTCGCAGGATTTGTGCTGGAGGAGCACTACTGGACACACGTAGAATACTTCCCGCATAGGCCTATCCCCAAGAAGTTGCTCCGGGACCTGGTCAATGTACTGCGCCACGGACAGCTTGGTACAGCATTCTCCGGCTTTATGCTGCGCAGCACTGACACGTAGTTTCGCGCAGATCACGAAACGTCACGATCCTCTACGTTCCCTTTCGATGCGGACCAGTGTAAGATATTCATCAAGCTACTTGCAGTAGACGGTAAGCCGATTGCTGCTTCTGACGCTGATCGTCCATGGACTAAACCGTTCTGCAGACGAGGAAACGTACAGCCCATACTACATCTGCATGGCAGCGCGGATCTCGACTTCGATTTGCAAGCACAGGTTCGACAACATGTACGGCGAGGAATTTGCGCGACTGGACCGCTTCAGCCGCAGGCGCGAGGAGCTCGTCGAACACGACCCTTTCTATATGAAGATCGCGTCGACTTTGGTCTTTGGCCACAACAAAGGTATCACAAAGAAGCTGGACGATCTCTATGTCGACGACACCACGTACACGATGCACTGGCGCCAGTTTATTGCCGACATGTACGACTCGTGGCGCGACTCTCGCCTCATGTCGATCTGCCTACTCATGTGAGCACACAAAACTCGTCCGTTCTCGGTAGTTGTTGATGATTGTGTTGCTTATAGCGTCTCAGCCATCTTTGTCTCTTACCCTCGCGGTATCCTTAGTTACTACGTCGGACTCGTGGCTATAGCGGTCCAAACACTATCTCTCGTCTCGTGCGTCATGCTGCTCCACAAATTTCACGATAAGCTCCATCTCGTCGCCGTCGATGCGGTAGGTTGATTCTCTTGCGACTTCCTAGCTCTGTTCTCAGCCTTTTACAGGTCAGCTTCCTCTCCGACGAGAAATACGGCAAGCTGGGATTCCAGCCGCTTGGTCTTCGCATGAGCACTCCCAAGGCTTTCATGACATGGTCAATCGTTCTTTTCATCACTCAAATCTTCAGCATTATCGTCGAATCAACCGGCGCGCCGCTCTTCTACACCTTCGTCATCGTCTTCGGTGCTCTTGCTCTTGTTGCTCTCGTGCTCACCGTCAAGCTCCTTACCGCTACACTCCTCGATATATGGCGCCGCCGTCGCCGGCAGTACGGCAGTCCCGTCTAATGCTGCTCTGATGCGCCGTGCCTTGCTGCTAAGGTGGCGGGGCACGGCTAGATCCAGCCGCAGCTAGTAGATGTCGTCAGGCCTAGTTTCAGACTAAAACGATGTCTATAATGCCCCAGCCACCGTTCTGTTGTCTGGTCTCTGCGAAGGTCCAAGGTAATCAATACACTGTAATGTCTGAGGTTGTTGCACGACTATTTTACGACTGTTTCATGACATGTTATTGTATGTACTTTATAGAAAACATTATCTGCGGGAATATGAGCAACAAATTAGGGTGTGAATAGGACGCCGCATTTCTAGGCCATCTTGATAACCTTGCTCCCGTCCGCAACGCCACCAAGGCTCTTCGCATTAACCTTGCCGCCGGCATCCTTCCGCCTAAGGAGTTCGTCCCACCAACCGAACAAAAAGTCCCGGGCGATTAGCTTGAACCACGGAGTAAAAGAATTCACTAGCATTCTTCATTAACACAAGAGCGCCACGAAGCCGGCACACGTGGACTTACAAGGGTCCTCGAACATCTTTTGGAGCTCATCCCTGGACACATACTTGTAACCTCGGATCTCATTCAGGTTTGGCGTCACATCCACATCAGCTGTCAGGAACAGAATGTAGTCGACTGTGCGGGCATGTCAGGAACCCTTGTCTGATATGTTCGGGCAGCCACTGCATTACTCACCCTCGTGCTCGCCCCAGGCGCCATTAGATGGCGCCAGGTAGTGTATGCGGGTCAGGTATTGGAATTGATCCACCGGGGTCTGCGCGCGAGGGATTCCCAGCTCGTGCTCAAGCTTTCTGGAGGCCGCTACCCTCACTCCGAGCTGCTCCTCCTCGACCTTCTCCTCCTCGAAGTCATCAAGCGGGTGCGAGCAGCAGGTATTCGTCCACATGTCCGGGAATGTGATTTTCTCCGTGGCGCGCTGCTGGAGAAGAAGCTTGCCGTCCGAGGGTCTGAAGACGAACGCAGAGAAGGCGCGGTGGAGGAGACCCTTGTTGATGTTCTCCATCAAGTGACCTGGCGCGGAAGAACGGGTCGAGTTGAAGCGTGGAACTGCACAGGCATGGGAACTCACATGTCTTCTTGTCTGCGGCACCCAAGGCACGATCCTGCTCGTCAACCAAGATGCACCTCTCTTCCATAAGCCTGGACTGCTCCGGGTCGTACTCAGAGAGGTCGATGGTTGAGAGCACAGCGCGGGACGCGAGGACGGCTGGCGAAGGTGAGGAAGACATGTTGCGGTGAAAATGAAGGGAATTGTGCAGAGCAAAGGAACGGCTGAAAAGGCGGGCAAGCTGTGGTCTCATGCGAGAGGCAAACAGGCGTGGTGTGATTCGACATGCTCGAAGTCAAAATAGTGGGTCCATCTATAGGCGCTTAATCTGAACGTGGCTTCATTCAAAAATGATCAAAAATGGTCCCGCGGCCCGTGTCGACCCACGAACGACGACGCGACATTCAATAGCTATAAGCCTTATTGATATTGCACCACAGTTGTATAACATATTCGACTTCAAAAGACAGTATTGACGGCATGACAGCGGAAGCTAGATAAAAATTGCCTGATGAAGCAGGGATGGAAAGGCGGAAGCATAGCAAACCATTGCGAGAAAGGGAAGTCTGGAAGAAAAGAGAAGAGTTCTAGTGCCTTCAGCGAATTACAATTTCAATTTCACCATATGGCTCTTCCTGCTTGACTCTAAGAAGATCCTTGGTTGTCAAGACTATACTCACAAAGGATCAGTAACAAAAGCAAGATGAATCCCAGCTTGGGTATGACCTACCCAGACAATGATAGAACGCAGCGGCGGCGACATGCCTTGTACTTGCCTCGATAGGCACAACGTCACTGAAATTCAGTGATGAAGTAGCGGATGGAAAAGCGTTGAGCTGCATCTTTGCATACCTACAAAACCGTGACTGACGTCAAGCAACAAAAACGATTCCTAAACCGGTACAGTGCTTACTCCAAAAAATTGAAAGAATTCCTCTCCAAGGTCATTACGCTAGCATCCGACATCTGCGAATCTTCTGCATTCGCAATACTCGCGGGAACTGGAGTGATTCGACAATTAGTATTAAGCGGGACAAAAGTGACGACAACAGTCTTACCGTCGAATTCGAAGACATTGTCTCTATGGGACGCTGACACGCGTAAGGACGGAGGCGACTCTGGTACGACACCAGCGGTTATGCTGTCTTTATCTATAGAACTTCCCCGTAGGCGTGAGTCGGCATGAGTAAAGCTCAGCCGGTCACTTCCCCCGGGGGCAGCGGCAGCCACTCCGGACACAGATGAGCTGACAGCGGCGTTATCCCAGGGGAAAAAATTGCTCCTTTGAGATCCTGAGCCGTAGCATCGCGCCGGTACAGCATCTACTTCGAACTGACTGCCGAACGCCGACGGAGGCCGTGAAGCACGGCGACCTTGGCCGGGCTCCTATGTTACTGGTTTCAGATCGAGATTAAAGACAAGTAGACGGATATTAATCACTTCAGACGAGCGCATTCGAGAATCCATATTCCATTCATCTTGCATAGCATGTTCTAAACGCACTGTTAATTGCTTCTCGGAAAATGGAAGAATAGCATACCATTGCCACCTCCACCGCCACCCCATGCCAAGTCTATGTCAAGGTTGGCGTCCTGCATAGGCCGGTCCGGCTCATATGCTTGGCGGTCCTCGGGCGCAGTAATATCGTTCTCGAGTCTCTGACGCTTCTTGGGTGGCTCGCCTGAGGCGATGCGTAAATGATCATGTTCCGCATGGGCATGAACGGAGACACCTACCCTCCGTGATGAGATGAAGCCTTCCCGAGCGAGCTGCCACCTGCACCCTGAAATTTTCTTGCCAGAAATCTATGAGCACGGGAGCGGCCACTAGAAACGAACTTCAGCTGAGATTGAACCATCCTGAACCTCGCATGTCGTACCTCCTCGAGGTACACCCCAGATCATCTCTTCGATAAGTCGCGCACTCTCCTTTTCTGCCTTCTTCTGCTCCGATTCACGCTTGAGAAGAGCCTGGCTTTCCAGATAACTGGACCGCGCCCGCTAGAGGACCTTACAGCAGGAAAATAAGA